TTTTAAAATAAGCCAAATTTAAAACAGTTTTAGATCTACAGAAAAATTGCAAAGATAATGCAGAGAGTTCCAATAATGCCAACATCTAGACACCCCCATTATCCTCTATGTCATTAAGGGACAATCGTCACAGACAAAAAAGACAATATTGATTTTATACCACTAATTATGTCCATTGTTTATTCAGATTTCATTAGTTTTTAACAGAAGTTCCAGAAACTTATTCAGGGTACCATATTACATTTAGTAATCCTCTCTTACACTCTTTTTAGCTGTGAAAATTTCTCAGACTTTTCATGGTTGACAGTTTTGAGTAGGATGGTGAGAAGTTTTGGGGATTTGTGTGATATTTTTTTCTCATGGCTAAACAGATTTTAGGGAGGAAGGTCACAGATGTAAAGAGCCATCCTTCTCATGACAAAGCCAATATATACTATCCACATGAATTAACCATTGTTGATGCTACCTTGGTCACGTGGCTGAGGGAGTATTTATGCAACATATAATGAATGGAGAGTTATTTTCTACCATCTCAACAGTTACATTGTCTGCATAAATTATTTTTAATCTTTATGCATGAGATATTTGTCTAGTCTTCCCCATTTACTTATTTATTTTTAGTCATTAATAAATTAATGTAAGCATAGGTCATGGGTCTTAATTTTATATTGTAGGCTACTATTAGATACTACTATTTACTATTTATTCTAACCAGTTGTCCATGGCAGTAGAAAACTCTTCAATTCATTGTACACAAATGGAGCAGAATTTTTCTCTTCTCTGGCTATACATGAAATAGAGTCACACCATCTTGCAATCATACATGTACTTATGGCAATGATGTCCATCTCATTTTGTCATCTTTCCTACTCTTTGCCCCCACCCTCCTTCTCTCCTTTGCCCCATCTAAAGTTTCCCCACTTATCCCATTTTTCCACCCCATTGTGGATTAGCATCCACTTAACAGAGAAAACATTTGTCCCCTGGTGTTCTGGGATTGGCTTATTTTGCCTAGCATGATATTCTCCAACTCCATCCATTTACCTGTAAATGCCAAAATTTTATTCTCTTTTAATGCTGAGTAATATTCCATTGTGTACATATACCACAGTTTCTTTATCCATTCATCTACTGAAGGACATCTAGGTTGCTTCCACAGTTTAACTATTGTGAATTGAGCCACTAAAACTTTGATGTAGCTGCATTACTATAGTATACTGATTTTAAGTCCTTTGAGTATAAACCAAGGAGTAGGATATCTGGGTCAAATGGTGGTTCCATTCCAGTTTTCTAAGGAATCTCCATACTGCTTTCCAGATTGGTTGCACCAATTTGCAGTTTCACCAGCAATGTAGGAGTGTGCCTTTCCCCTCACATTCTCGCCAACGCTTATTGTTGCTTATATTCTTGAAAACTGTCATTCTGACTGGAGTGAAATGAAATCTCAGAATAGTTTTGATTTGCTTTTTTCTAATTACTAGAGATGTTGAATATTTTTTTCATATATTTGTATATCTTCTTCTGAGAAGTGTCTGTTCAGTTCCTTGGCCCATTTATTGATTGGGTTGTTTTTTCGGGGGTTTTTGAGTTCTTTCTATATCCTGGAGGTTATTGCTCTATCTGATGTGCATGTGGCAAAAATTTGCTTCCAAAATGTAGGCTCTCTCTTTACCTCATTGATTGTTTCTTTTGCTGAGAAGAAGATACTACATTTTTTGCTGGTGATGGTGCTGCTCAAATTGTTTCAACTTGACTATCAGGAGCTTTTCTTTTTTTCCTTCTAATTGATGCATTATAAGTATACATAAAGTGAGATTGATTGTTACATATTTGCACATGCAAACAATATATCAGTATAATTTGGTCAATTACATTACCCAGTACTTCCCCTTTCCTCCTCTCTTCTCTATAACTGGTCAGCTTCCTATACTAGTCTCATTTGAAGGTTTTCAATTGACTCCTACATCCCTTAGACTTATTCCATAGTTTTATTTGTCTCTGTGTATATATGTTTGTGTAGTTATGTTTTTGGTTTTGATCATTTCCTTACTTGGTGGCACTACAGAATACTTCAGTCTTATCTTGCATATTTACAGTTTCAGTCCCAGAATCAGCCATTTTTATTTCCACAGAGCCCCAGTTCCTTTTTATTTGAGAATACTATTAGAGACCACGGTCATTAGGTTGGGTGGGCTCTTTGCTACTGAGTCATTGCTTCGAGGACCCCTCAGCTGACAGAGCAAGGAAATAAATGGCAGGTACTAAACTCATGGATGTGTATGTACATATTAGTATTTATTTTCATGATCATCTTACATATATAAATACTATGTTTTGTGTACTTTTAATTGATAAGAATATAGTTTTAAGTAGAACAAACAATATGAAATTAGTATTTTGTATATTTAAAAAGTCTTATAGATCAGCAATTTCACGTGGATCAACTTGTTTATTTATAAAACAGAAATTTGTAGTTTAACAGATAACCATGTAACCCACATCCAGTTAACAAATAAAAATATTTCCAACACACACACACACAAACACATCCACCATGTACTCCCTCTCCTTGGAGGTAATTATTCTCCTAATGTTTTTGATGATTATCTTTTAATTCACTTTCTGTATAACTGTAAGCTTTAGGAACTAGATGTGCATTACAAAAGCACATTTTTTCTATTTTTACTTTAAAGAATTTAGACTCATATTACATGTAGTAATTTGTATTTTGAGTTTTATGCCATTTATCATTTGTTAGATATATAGAGCATTAGTTCATTTGTTTTGATGTATACTATGTTTAATAATTCACAATATAAATATGCTAACAATTTGACTATTTTAGTATTGATTGATATTTGGTAATACTTTTTAAAACTGAGAATGAAATAGCAACATAATTACATTTCAACTGATCTTTAGGTTTCTCGGTCTCATGAAATTTCAAATTCATTGCCATTCTGAAAGGACCAAGATTAGAACTACCTCTGATTTAAACAATGTCTTAAAATACATAATCACCAGGAAATCTTCTGATTATAATTTGGCCTCTCAAATAATTCTGCCTACAGGGAGAAAATTACATGATCTAGCACAAGTATTTCAGTTCCTGTAACAACTGGACTTCTCATTGTGAATGAAACAAATTGGCATTATGTTTTCATACCTCTGTCTCCAGGGTTGGGTTAATGAGTCCATCTCAAAGATGTAGCTCTCCTTTTGGTGTGTTGATAAAATCAGGTAATGAATTCCAACTCATGAAGCCTCTTGAGAAGCAGGCAGGCAGCCTTCTACAGACAGGCAGAGATTGCCTCTCTCCCACTGTGAACGTGATCAAACAAGAGCCTAATTGTCCTATTTTCCAATCTATAACTCCTGTGTCCCCAAATGTGGGCAGATGGACACTTCAGTGAAAATCTTCCCAGAGGTTCATTTATGTTTCTTATTTATAAAGATTTTTACAATATTATACTTTCAAGTAATCTGTATTTTCTATAATATACTCATTCTCTTTTTCCTGTCCTAACAATATATTATTGTCTGGGATAGCATTTTTTAAGAGCAAAAATTCAAAATGTAGCATTTTAAGAAAACTGCACTAAAGATTTTAAAGGGAAAAAATAGATAATTGTATTTCTAAAAGTGCTGTATGTGCTCAAAATACCTTCAGGGGGTTGTATTTAATTCATAGAAAAGTAGGTCAAACCTTCTAAGATCAATTTCTAATCAAATAGCTACTCTGTACATTTATAATATTTATTTTATAGCTCTTTCATTAATGTCATTCTCTATTTCTCTCCCAAACAAAATTACATGACTTTTATGTTAACCACCACAGTGTTTTTCATCTCTTATATGGATTTGTGCTGTCAGAACAAAAGCAAAAACAATGCACCTTTAAAATAAATTGTACAGGAAGCTCTCCTTTTAATCTTTACCAAATGTTCTTCATAATTTTTATAACAAATTCTGGGAAATTGAAAAATAGAAATCTATTTTTTTATTTCCCCCTTCTCATATTAGACTCATCAAATGTATGTATCTACAGATATAAACAAGGCTTTATAAATCCTACCAAATATGTTCAATATACTTCAAGTGCTCTATCAGTTTCTGGCATAATTTTATAGACTTGTTAGAAAGCATACAAATTGGAAGGAAGGCTGAGAAATGGGACCACTTGGTTTGAGTACAGTTGTCATTCACTGTATATCGCCATCTTCTGGGAAGTTTGAGCACTACAATTGTATATATACAAGACCACAAGCAGTTTAGCTTTCCAGGGGCAGTGGCGAGAGGTAGGGATTCATTTAAATATTAAAACTTATTAAGTCAATTCCATATTTTAGTACTTTAGTTAAATTATTAAATATTATCTTTAATAATTCTTTTGTATTGGTCATTTTAGGAGGAAAAAAAGCAGATAGACTTTGCCAATTTTTCTGTCACCAGAAGGGGACATTTTGCAGAGTTGAATAGTGAATAGAAAGAATACAGAAAGTATTTGTTGAATGAGGATACAAATGAATGGCAGTTACTGAACCTAGAAGTCATATTTTGACATATTTTTCTTTATCAGAGAATGATTTCTGTGAAGTAAAAACTAGAAAGATACTGATACTATTAGTATTCTCATTTTTGTGATTTACATGTCTTTATTAAATAATCTGAGACACTTTGACTAGTTAAAAATGTTAATTTCTTCTATAATGGTTCATAGATCTATTTTGAAGCAAATCCATAAAATGAATATTATCAGAAATACAGTATGATTTCATAAATATGGTAACAGTATAAAATAAAATGCTGCCCATTTCTGAATTTATATGATTGATTGCAATGTCAATTTGAATTATGTCTATGCCCAAAGACAGACTCAGAATATTATTGACTCTTATAAATTTGTGACTACTATAAACTATGGTATAAATAAAGACATATCAGTCTGACATATGTGAATTTAGATGAGAAAGTATTGCTAGTTTTGTTTTGTTTTGTTTTGGAAGCACTGGGGATTGAACCCAGGGCCTCTTGCATGGTAGACAAGTGCTCTACCACTGAACTACATCCTTAATCCTAAACTTTTTTTCATGTAAAAGTCTAGTAACCTGAATAAGAACAAGGTAAATAATTCTGTTTAAAGCCATTTTTAAAAAGGGAAGTAGAGCAAGCAGCAAGCTTTTCTGCTGCTACTAGAGGGAAATTAGCCAATTGGAACTCAGAACCCAGTTTTATTACGTTCATTGTTGTTTGTTGTATTCCTAGACTAAATTACAAAAGAAAAGCTCCAGTGCCTTATTAATAGAATGACAGATCCAGACACCATTTAAATAGTGCTGCTTTGGCTTGAAGCACATCTCCTGTTGTGACACATTTTTAACTATGTGTTTTTGTGGAAGTTACGTATTATCAGATGAAACATTGCCTGCACTAGTTTCTCCAACTTGTCTTCGAGTACTTCCCTTCACCAGTTAACAGCTGGCTTTTAATAGCATCCCATTGAGAGTTCTCTACTGCTGTTGCTTTTATACTAACCACCCTACTAAGAAACAGTTCCATGTTCAGAAATGCCCCTGGTCAAGTTCTGTATTGGCATTTCATCACAGCCAGGGTCCCCCCCACCCTGGGGACAGAATGGAGTTGTCATGCTTCAGAAGCAAACCTCAATGATGTGTTTCAGTCTTTTGAAGTAGTCCTCTCCCTGAGATCTCTCTGATATACGTCTATGAAGCCAGAGTCCACTTCCCTTTTGATCTGCTAACACTGGCAAGAGGTACAGCAAGTCTTTCTCCAAGCTGCCCTTTATTATATCAGAGATTTATGTTAAGTCCGTTACACTTGGCTCATGTCAAATCAGTCAGATGTTCAACCAGTATTTGATAGCTTACTATCTGTCAAACTCCCCAGTGAGACATGTATAAAGATTACGTATGGTGAATTCAGGCTTTAGAATTTATGATTCAGAATTTGGAGAGTACATAAACAAGTGGAGGAAGAAGTGGTTAAATCTGCCCGAGGGACCCAAGTAACACTTTAAGAAGTGCTTGACTCTGGGTCTTAAAGGATGAAAGAGATTTTTTTTAAAGCTAATTCTGGCATTTAAGCTAATGAGGAGGATGAATCGGGGTGAGCAATTGGCTTGTAGTAATATCAATTAGAATTCAGGTCAGAAGTGAGTAACAGACATCAATAAACAGCAGCTGAAACAAGTATGTGGTCGAAGGTCAGAAAAGTGATTCTGCCCCTCAAACTTCCTAGAACGAGGCTCCGTTTGGTTGCTTTGCTGGATGCCATTACAAAGGGCACCTCAAGGTCCAACCAAGGTAAATCTTGCAGTCCAGGAATTTTTGTATTCCAAGAAGAAGGAGCAATTTTAATATATGCATTTTATTCTCTTGAACTCCTCTCTTTCAATGATCACATCCTTCATTCTTCCCCAAGCAACACGTTCATCACAGTCATATGTTGCATTTAAATAGCTGCCACATTTCCATAGTCTCAGTGGCACCCACTCACTGGCCTCCGCTGCCTAACTTTCCCATGTACTCCTTACACATTACCAGTACTTCCAGTCCCCTGGAATCACCCCTCATTCCTTCAAATCCCCAGTAACCTCTTTACTCAGCTCAAAATTCACTATCAACCCTTATAATTAACCTTTATCTCCAACTAGCTTACCTTTTCTCAGAGTGTTATATATCCTTCTAAAACCACATCTTGATGTTGTGGTTTGGAGGTAGTGAGTGGGATTTCCCTCAGGAGTTCATGCCTTGGAAGCTTGGTTCCCAGGATCTTGGTATTAAGAGGAAGTGAAACCTCTAAGAGGTGGGGCTTAATGAAAGGTTCACAGGTCACTGAGGTCGGTTGCCCTTGGAAGGGATTAGGGTAATTCTCCAATCAAGAGCCAGTTATAAAAGGCTGTTCCTAACAACCACCCAGCTCTCTGACTTCCTATTTGGCAATGTGATGGTTCACCCACATATATCCCACCACAATGTGATACCATCTATTGTTAGGCTTTTACCAGAAGCTAAATCAGTGAGCAGCCAGATCATGACTTTGAACTTCCCAAATGATGAACTAAATAAACCTCTTTTTTTTTTTAAATAAATTTCTTGTTGCAAGTACCTCAATATAATGACAAAAAACTAATACGCTTAGTTAAATTCAACTTTCTGCCTTCTTTCACACCTGCACCTATATAGCTGAATATTCTTGGACAAAAACAAATGCATCAACTATTCTCACTTTTACAAAATAAAAAGCTATAAGCAGGCCCTTATGGAGCCCCTCAGTTGCTATGGTAATTTCTTATTCCACTTTTTCTCTCAAACTCCTGGAGACGTATTTTGCGCTTTGTCCTGTGTCTAAAAATCTGTATTGCTTCCTCTCTAGCCTCTCAGTTGATGAATTGTGGTTCCCATCTACCTACATCTATACCCAAGTGCTCTATATTCCTAACTGTTCCATCTCCTGTCAAAGGTTGGTCCTTCCTCTAATGGACTAGACCCCCTATGTTACTGGTATTTCCTTCTACCTTGGTTTATTCCTAAAAGTATTTCCTCAATCCCCATTTCCCATGAGCTTCTGACCCTGCCTCCCTGATATTCTATATAAAAACTCTCTCCCTACTGCTGCTTAGCTATAGTGGGTACAAGTCTATATTGGCAATGGCATTTTGCTCTGTCCAAGTATCTTCCAACCTAATTGACTGCCTCACCTCCTTCAACACTTGGTTTAATCACCCTCTTATTGAAGCCCAAACACACTTCCTTATTTCAAATTTTCATAACTCAATTCTACTTCTGCTTCCCATAGCTAATAGGGAAAAATTTTTTTCATAGCATTTCTTATCTTCTAAGACACATTACATTTTACTTATCTGATGTTTTATTGGTTATATATATCCCTCCAAAATACAGGTTTCAAAAGGACAGAGGCTTCATTGTTTTATAATCTCATGTGCTTCAAATAGTGCCTGGAACGTATTTGGAACTCAAGAAGCATTTGTCAAACATATTAAATTACTTTCAATTTCCTGGTTCTCAGATTGAATAATGTGCTTCTATCATCCAACTGTTGATTTCATGGGACATAAATGCTACTCTGGTCAACTCAAAGAAGACTGGTTTATTCCATTATGGTTTAATTTTGGTTTGGCTTTGTTCGTGTAGCTGGAGGCTCCAGGATTTGCATTAGTTTTGGCCTCTGTTGAATCCATGTCTTCAAAGAAGGCCAATAGGATGATCTCTATCCCTAGACTCTGCTGTCCTCACTTTCAACTTCATATCTAGGGGTATCTCCCCACCTGGGGTAGATGTGAATACAATACTTTTAGACTTATGTGATCTTTAGATCCCAGAGATCACAGTGGCAACCCAAGAGGCCCAGGTGAGACAGTGTCTGGTTCAATTAATGAATCAGTCACAGTCCTGCAGTGGGGTGGGGAGGCATGATCTGTTTAAACTAGGCAGGTATCACAAGATCCTCCATAAAGGACTGGGGAGGGGTGGGGAACAACTGGAGTAATGTTCCAGAATTTTGTGGACAGCACAAGATATCCCTAGGAAGGTCAAGAGGTAATCTCACATTTATTTTAGCTGTCATTATGTGAATAATACATATTTCCAATTGGCAACATAACCCATAAAAATATTTCCAGAATTTTTTAGACCAAAAAAAATGTAATTTAAAAATAAACTTTCTTGTAATTTTAGGAACAACAAAACAACAACCAAAAAAAAAAAAAAAAGCACATACTGAGCAAAAGATGTAACTTTATTTTCTTGGCAAAGCAAATTCATTTTAACAGAATATTTTCAATTTATTAGTAACATCCTATTATTATCAACTATAATCAGTTTTACATAAGACTTAATTTGATGTAGCATCCTACACTATACTCTAGAACATAGTTTTCATTTATATATGTCTTTACCTTTGTATATAGCTAAAATTTAGGTATGCACATGAATAAATAATATAAAATTTTGGGACACTCATAAAATAATAATTATATTTAAAATTCCTTAAGGAAATGTGTTTAAAATTCAATATTTTTTAAATTAATTATGCTTTGTGTATAACTATTACATGATATAAAGAATACTATTAATTCATATAAACAGAACATAAGCAAAGAATTACAGCTTATATACTGATTAGAGATCATGGTATAGGTATGAGAATTAATTACAATTAGAATCATATTATTAGCATCTTCTGTTCTACCAAAAACATACATCTGTATATGAAATGAAATATATATTCATTGCATTAAATGGCATTAATTACTTATATGTATGTGAACATTTTATTTCTTAATGATCAACGTGTTTATTTGAAAATACTTTAAAATTAGTTTTTTTCTTGAAATATATAACCACTATAATATAGTAAAAAATCATAATTTACACTGTGTAAATTTATCCCACTAATTAGTATTTTCTCTAAGGTATGGAATAGTTGTAATTTTAAAATAGTCTGAATAAGTTCCCACACACTAAAAGCTAAATATCAATTATAGTTGAATTGAATAAAATGACTATGGAAGAAAAATCTAAAATTATGTAGATGTGCCACACTCTATGCAACAAATACTTTTTTGGAAAGTTGTATGTAAGTTCATTACATTTCAAAGAATATATAAGGAAAATTGACAGTTGATATCTCTATAAAATCAATCTTTTCTTAAGTCTACAAAGTCATAGTAAAATAAAGGAGTTTAATTCCTTCTTTAAATGTTTGAATTTTCTTAATATGTCACATACAAAGTAGTGTCCTCTCAAAATCATTGAGCACCAGACTAATGCTGTATAAACCAAATTCAAACAGAACAGAACATGAATTAAGCCTGCACATGCGACAGAGTGGGCACTTGTAAGTAGAGTCATAAAAGCAAGTAGTATGTCATATTTCCAGATTCTAAAAAAAATTACCACTCTACCATGGATTTTTTAAGTCATTTATCCCTAATATCTGATTGTTTGAAAAACTGTTTAGCATATTATTTTAGGTAAAATGCTAAGAATTGCTTCCTTTTTAAATTCTTATTTTTCCTTTTTTTGTTCTCATTTG